TATTCATAAGTTTAATAATAAAACTTACATTATTCTACTGACAATTCACTTCACATAATTAGATTCATATTTCTATTATTATTAATGAGATATCAAATTATACATATATCTTTCATTCAACTTAATAGGTTATTATTTTGAGAAAAGGTTACTTCAAGTAGTGATGTCTAAAGATGTCAATCAAATCGATATAGATTATTAGAGACTAATTATCTCATGCACTTCAATAGGTTATTATTTTGAGAAAAGGTTACTTCAAGTAGTGATGTCTAAAGATGTCAATCAAATCGATATAGATTATTAGAGACTAATTACCTCACGCACTTCCATAGTTTATTATTTTGTGAAAAGGTTACTTCAAGTAGTGATGTCTAAAGATGTCAATCAAATCGATATAGATTAATTAGAGACTAATTACCTCACGCACTTCCATGTCTTTATCAAGTAATAAACAAAATAAAACGAGCGATGCGTGTTTTTCTATTATGAAAAATGAGAGCTCATCAACTAATATTTTTGCATGAACATGTAAATTACATATTTCAATAAAACATTCAAATGTATTTCTAAAAATGCTTCACATTATTTAAAAATTATAATTTCGTAATGAACTTGAACTGTTCCTTTAAAAATCTCGTTTTATTTCTATATTTAAAAGCTTTTTTTTTTCCCGAACGGTGTACAATTTAATAAATTATTTAATTTTTGTACCGCATGTTGGTTTTATAAAAGACATTTGTGTTTTAGTGGAACGCTATTGAAGAAGCTGTAAAGCGAAACTTTGAGTGTCCAATTAAAGAAAAATACATTTGGTGTCATAAGGTCGTTTATTACTAGAATTGAAAGTTAATAAATGTCTTTTTTCCTTTTAGAGTGAAGGTAAGAACATAACCTAAGTTAGAATTACAAGTTCCAGTGATTTATATTAGCATGATGTTGAAATGTTTTGTGTGGTATATATATATATATATATGTCTCATTTTTCTGTCTTATTCTAATCGTTGGCGTTTCGGCTACTTACTGCTTTCCCGTCTCAGCCTCAGAAAGATATCCTAAACGTTGTTATAGGATAAGAAATGGAACAGGAAACATTTGAGAAAGTACATCAAAACACAGTGCATCATTCAAGGGGATTTTGGATGTAGTTTGGTCACCCATTAAAGTCTGGTTATTACAATTACAGAAGTAATTATTTCAAAAATTTGAATTGTAAGTCGTCAGTATATTTAAATATTCAAATGAATTATTTTGTTGGAAAAATGACTTTTATTATTCAGCTTTCTAGTGACTTTACAAGAGTTTGCTTTTGGTGGCATTTTACTCTAGTCATTACAGAAGGTGTGTTCCTGTGATAAGATAGCGAAGACTGAATGTTTTGTGGTATATAACCTTATTCTTAGCCTTTTTCTATTATATTTTAAGCACCAGTCCTCTAGAATCGGTTAATTCTGGAAGCAGAATTGGATGCTTGAGCACCTTACGTTGTGATATCACACTGTGGTTCTATTAAACATTTCTTTACGCAAGAAACAGTTTCCCTTGTGTTTTCTACATTATAGTTGCATCTTATCTAAGCACTATTGATGTTTATACACTGGTTAAAGAACGTAACAACAGAAGAGAAGAATAGGAAATTCTTGAAATTTCTGTTTTAAAATAGTTATTATAAATACGTCACACTTATTTTACTTTATTATAAATACGTCACGCTTATTTTACTTTATTATAAATACGTCACGCTTATTTTACTTTATTATAAATACGTCACACTCACACTTATTTTACTTTATTATAAATACGTCACACTTATTTTACTTTATTATAAGTCACACTTATTTTATTTTATTATTTGCCTGATTCAGCTGCTTTCTTTTAGGTGCACGTGTTAATAAATATAAATACAACAAATACAATTACAGGGTACAATAATTTATTGACTAATATTCAGCTCGATGGAGACAATTCTTATCTGTATAAGCTAGTTTGAAGGCACAAACATTTATATCTGATTTTGTTAATTATATTAAATAATGAATTCACCAAGTGAATGAAATTATCAATTATTACTCAACAGTTTAGGGACAACAAAAAATAGAAGAACACCTATTGATACACAATTAAACTTTGGAGAAATATGAACCCTTAAAACAAAATAAAGCATATTATACCTATTTTTTTGAAACCGACAAGATATACGGCACTGATTTTCTTGGATAAAAAACTTTTTAAATAGAGATTGTAGTATTGATAATAACTTCGAATGTATCTTCAATTTAGGGTTACAATCTTAGACTTTGGATGGAGGTTCGTGTTTTTTACTGTTTGTCCAAAATGGTGAATTTATTCTTTCAAGTCAAGTACACGATTACTTTCAAGTAGCTAACATTATAGGCTTAAGACTTGTAATCCGGTATATATTGGAAACATCATTAATATTTTTTAGAACTATATTCACTATAGAAGAACAATACATCCAAACCACAAGAATGTTTAAATGTAATTCCTATTTGAAAAATGTGCGAGAATGAGCAAAAAAATGTTGACTAGTGTTCCTTAAAAGGTTTAAAGCGATGTTTTTCTAAGTCAATACTAATGAACTTAAGAAGTGTTAATTCCTCAAATTAAGTGAGCAGAAAATTTAAGATATACTTTGATGACTCTTCCCATGGTGAGCTACTATATTCGAATTACTTATGCATTTCGTGGGATTATTAAAAGCAAGAAACATATACATTGTAAGTCATCTTAATTTTCAATCTGTTGAATAATGAAACTATATGTGATAACAATGGCATCGTTTTCAGTTAAGAAAATTGTGATAAACGTTCCTTGGACAGAATTGTTAATAACTGTTAGAAATTGTTAATAATTGTTAGTAATTGTTAGTGGTTGTTAATAATTGTTAGTGGTTGTTAATAATTGTTAGTAATTGTTAGTGGTTGTTAATAATTGTTAGTAATTGTTAATAATTGTTAGTGATTGTTAATAATTGTTAGTGATTGTTAATAATTGTTAGTAATTGTTAATAATTGTTAGTAATTGTTAATAACTGTTAATGATTGTTAATAATTGTTAGTAATTGTTAATAATTGTTAGTAATTGTTAGTGGTTGTTAATAATTGTAGTAATTGTTAGTGGTTGTTAATAATTGTTAATAATTGTTAGAAATTGTTAATAATTGTTAGTGATTGTTAATAATTGTTAGTAATTGTTAATAACTGTTAATGATTGTTAATAATTGTTAGTAATTGTTAATAATTATTAGAGATTGTTAATAATTATTAATAATTGTTAGTAATTGTTAATAATTATTAATAACTGTTAGTGATTGTTAATAATTGTTAATAACGCGCTTCGCAACGTACTTTGGAGCCATAGGTAAGTTGTAAGAGGGATGGTCAAATGGCACTGTTGAATCAGAAAGAGCGTGTGCTATTGAACCCCTGCTTTTCTCCAGACTATCAATTTAAAATTGGAACTGGCTAAGTGTAGATAGTCCTTGTGTAACGCTTCGCGAGAATTCCAAGCTTAAATTACGAGCGTTTTTGAAGTTTTCGGGCGTGTTATGTCTCATCAAACATAAATTATTACTCTAGAAAACATCACGTTTCGTCAACGTCAGGTGTTATTTAACATCAAAGTGGATTTTCACATTTTGTAGTCAACTACTTAATCTAACAAATTACCAAAGAACAAACACCTCAGGAAGTTATTAATATCCATTTGTTTTAAATTGACTAGGTTTCTCATTTAATTCTTTACTCAACTAATCCACACGTCCTAAATTATCTCCAGTCAGAGTGAAACACATAGTAATCATCATAATTACTAAATGTATTTAAAAGTTTTGACAGTGATACATATCTGTTTGGAAATAATGACAATTACACAGCAAGCATGAATTAGAGATTAATAATCACAGTCTACTTCAATGTTCTTGACGTCTTCCCATTACTTTATTGTACCTTCTTGGAAAACGTATTCCCAGTTGAGATATAGATAATTCATATTAAAGCTTGCTCAGAACAAGCTAATGTTTGCTTCAAATCAGCTGTTATATCACTAATGAGTAAATGAGGCACATCAGAAATCTCTATTAGCTGTGTAATGTTGGTCTGTTTCAGTACTTTGCTGGTTATTCAAATCTTTAGTTAATACTAAGGATTTTCTGAAAATACAAATAATAAACTATAAAGTTTTATTTATTTATATATATGTGGATTTATATATATAGCTTTAAATGCAAAATAAATATCCATATATATATACATTTACCTATGTTAAAGTAAAATAATCTTAATTTGAAAAAATACTTCCTAACAAAACAGAAAGATCTTAATTTGGAGCAAAATTTCCTAATAAGGCATAGTAATCCTAATCTGGAGTAAAACTATCTAATAAGACAGAATGATCTTATCCTGAGATAAAAACTTCCTAAAAATAGAAAATGTTCTTAATCTGGAACAAAACTTTCTAAC